AAACAGGTAGTGTTTCTTTTATATTTACAGGTAATGAATTCTAGATTTTAGGGCCTTTTATGTGCATTGAGTTTTTGCATAGTGTGAGATGGACACGAGGAACATCAAAGAGTTATCTGTGCCTTGTGTTATGGTCATGTGTTCTGTTGAGGTTGGCAAGGAGATGTTTGAGGGGAGGGTTAATATCAGAGTTAAGTGTTCTATGTATGTAATAAGTGCAATAATAAGTATGGATGTTTTGTATGGTGAGTAGGTTGAGTGTTTTGAATATTGGTGGAGTGTGCTGCCTGTAGTGAGAATTTGTTATTCTGACTGCAGCATATATATCAGGTTTCTATGTTATTTATACTGTTTCTTATGTCATATTAGATAAACTGTGATAGATAAATATGCTGTAGAGTTGATATTAGAATCATGTTCAAGAAATTTAGTGTCATATTCAAGAATGAGGAAAATTGACTCGGCATACAAGCAGATCGGGATACAAGAGAGGTCACGGAACAGATTAACCCGTAAACGGTCCAAGCAGATCTACGTTCACATGTGTAGTGATACAAAAGTAGATCTACGTTTTATTTACATATTTTCAAATGTAAAAAAGCAAAAAGATTATTTTTTTTATATACTTTCAAATGTTGAAAAAACGTATATATACGTTTGGACCGTTTACAAGTTAAACTCTTAAGCCGAGGTTCCACTGTAATTTATTATATCAAATTAATTTAAAATTATATGAGGCTAAAAATGAAAATTAAACAGCACGTTTCGGCAACAGTTTTCTCGAAATATTTTCCATAATAAATAATTAAGCTAGGTTAAGATATATTAAGAAAATTCCCAGCTTAATGCTAAGATATATTAAAAAATTCCCAGCTTAACCCTTTGAGGGTTTTCGTCGTACTAGTACGTCTTACGCGTAGGGGTTTTTGACGTACTAGTACTCATAAATTCTAGCGGCCTCAAATCTAGTGGGAGAAAGCTGGTAGGCCTTCATATGAAAGAATGGGTATATGTGGTCAGTGTGCACAGTCTAAAAAAAATCCTGCAGCACACAGTGCATAATGAGAAAAAAAAAACTTTGACCATTTTTTTTTAATAAATCAGCGACTTTGCAGTGTATTTTCGTATGATATTTATTGTTGTATTCTAGTTTTCTTGGTCTCATTTTATAGAATGGAAGACATATTACAGAAATTGAGATGATTTTGACTGGTTTTACAAAGAAAGGTGCCTTGAAATTGAGCTCAAAGTAGCAGAAATGTTCGATTTTTACCAAACTTCAAAAGTAAACAAATCGTGCCAAGCGTGCAATACACGTCAACTGGTGAGTCTAATATTCTTTCACAAGTGCACCAATAATATTTATACCATTTTTTACACTAATGCAGTAGTCTGCATAACAGTAAATCTTATATTTTTTGTGAGAATAAAAATTCAAAGTGGAAAGCAAAAGAATATAAGAGAGGCCTTGAGACGTGACTAATGACTAGAGGAAATGTCATTTTAGTGCCAGGAAAGTTTTTCTTGTTTATTCTGGACCCTATTCGGAAATTGGCATATTTTGAAATTTGTGTGAAATTGGCAAAATTGCTAAATTCTGACCACTGTACTGGATAGTTGAATTACATAAATGAGTGGTTTCTTGCATCCATTCGATAGAAAAAATGGAGTTCTAGCGAAATATTCATGTTTTTTGTCGACTAGTACAGTGAAATTGGCCGAAAATATGGCTCAAAGTGGGCAAAATCGCTGATACGTAAACATCGCCGAGACCGCTAACTTTGCGAGAGCATAATTCCGTAAGTTTTCTATCAAATTTCAAACTTTTGGTGTCTTTATGATCGGGAAAAGATTCTCTATCTTTTCATAAAAGAAAATAATTTTTTTTTTTTTTTAAATTTGGCCGACCCTGAGAACGAGTTTCGGAGAGGGCCTGTCGACCCTCAAAGGGTTAATGCTGAGATATATTAAAAAATTCCCAGCTTAATGCTGAGATATATTAAAAAATTCCCAGCTTAATGCTGAGATATATTAAATAATTCCCAGCTTAATGCTGAGATATATTAAAAAATTCCCAGCTTAATGCTGAGATATATTAAAAAATTCCCAGCTTAATGATGATTTATATTAAAAAATTCCCAGCTTAATGCTGAGATATATTAAAAAATTCCCAGCTTAATGATGATTTATATTAAAAAATTCCCAGCTTAATGCTGAGATATATTAAAAAATTCCCAGCTTAATGATGATTTATATTAAAAAATTCCCAGCTTAATGCTAAGATATATTAAAAAATTCCCAGCTTAATGCTGAGATATATTAAAAAATTCCCAGCTTAATGCTAAGATATATTAAAAAATTCCCAGCTTAATGCTAAGATATATTAAAAAAATCCCAGCTTAATGCCAAGATATATTAAAAAATTCCCAGCTTAATGCTAAGATATATTAAAAAATTCCCAGCTTAATGCTAAGATATATTAAAAAATTCCCAGCTTAATACTAAGATATATTAAAAAATTCCCAGCTTAATGCTGAGATATATTAAAAAATTCCAAGCTTAATGCTAAGATATATTAAAAAATTCCCAGCTTAATGCTGAGATATATTAAAAAATTCCCAGCTTAATGCTGAGATATATTAAAAAATTCCCAGCTTAATGCTGAGATATATTAAAAAATTCCCAGCTTAATGCTGAGATATATTAAAAAATTCCCAGCTTAATGCTGAGATATATTAAAAAATTCCCAGCTTAATGCTGAGATATATTAAAAAATTCCCAGCTTAATGCTGAGATATGTTAAAAAAATTCCCAGCTTAATGCTGAGATATGTTAAAAAATTCCCAGCTTAATGCTGAGATATGTTAAAAAATTCCCAGCTTAATGCTAAGATATATTAAAAAATTCCCAGCTTAATGCTGAGATATATTAAAAAATTCCCAGCTTAATGCTAAGATATATTAAAAAATTCCCAGCTTAATGCTGAGATATATTAAAAAATTCCCAGCTGAATGCCAAGATATATTAAAAAATTCCCAGCTTAATGCTAAGATATATGAAAAAATTCCCAGCTTAATGCTAAGATATATTAAAAAATTCCCAGCTTAATGCTAAGATATATTAAAAAATTCCCAGCTTAATGCTAAGATATATTAAAAAATTCCCAGCTTCAAACTAGGTTAAGACATGTTAAAAAATGCCCAGATTAAAGATTCTTCCAAATTCCAAAAATTGAAAATCCGGACAATGGTTCAAGGTATATTATAGACCAAAGTAAATATTAAATTAGCTTACCATATATCAGGTATATACAATATATCATTAATCCTTAAATGGTCCAAACGTATATATACGTTTTTTCAACATCTTAAAGTATGTAAAAAAATGTAGATCTTTTTTTTGTTTTACATTTGAAAACTTGTAAAAAAAACTTTTATCTACATTTTTTTTTTGTTATACAGTGGACCCCCGCTTAACGATCACCTCCGAATGCGACCAATTATTTAAGTGTATTTATGTAAGTGCGTTTGCACGTGTATGTTTGGGGGTCTGAAATGGACTAATCTACTTCACAATATTCCTTATGGGAACAAATTCAGTCAGTACTGGCACCTGAACGGTGGCCCGGTGGCCTGGTGGCTAAAGCTCCCGCTTCACACACGGAGGGCCCGGGTTCGATTCCCGGCGGGTGGAAACATTCGACACGTTTCCTTACACCTGTTGTCCTGTTCACCTAGCAGCAACTAGGTACCTGGGTGTTAGTCGACTGGTGTGGGTGGCATCCTGGGTGTTAGTGGACTGGTGTGGGTGGCATCCTGGGTGTTAGTGGACTGGTGTGGGTGGCATCCTGGGTGTTAGTGGACTGGTGTGGGTGGCATCCTGGGGGACAAGATTAAGGACCACAATGGAAATAAGTTAGACAGTCCTCGATGACGCACTGACTTTCTTGGGTTATCCTGGGTGGCTAACCCTCCGGGGTTAAAAATCCGAACGAAATCTTATCTTATCTTATCTTAACATACTTCTGGAGTGAAAAAATATCGTTAACCAGGGGTCCACTGTATTTGAAAATATGTAAAAAAAAAAGTAGATCTACTTTTGTAGCTACGAATTTTTAACGTCGATCTCTTTGGACCGTTTAAGGGTTAATACTTATATATATGAACACTTTACGAGTCACTCAAAAAAATGTGTCTTTTTCAGCGAATTTTTTTTCACGTTCCTAAAATTCCATTAAAAAATGTTCAATATATATCGCAAACTTATTTTATGAGAGGGGAATATATATAAATTAAATATATACATATATATATACATTCAAAAATAGTTTCGATATACGTAGTTAAACGCGTCTTTTTTAGCTCGTCAAAAACCATTAAAATCTGACAATATATAACCCAAAATGATCTTAAATGACATTAGACAACTGGGAATATATATAAATTCAATATATACATATTCAAAAATTCTTTCGATATACGTAGTTAAACACGTCGTTTTTAGCTCGTTAAAAATCCATTAAAATCTCAGAATATATAAATCAAAATGATCTTAAATGACATTAGACAATTGGGAATATATATATACATTCAATATATACATATATACACTCAAATAAAAAGCATTACAAATGTATATACATTATACATATAACCCAAAATTATCTCGTATGACATTAAATGCAGAATATACATATATATACATACATGCCATCAAAATCCACTTGCAAATATATATATATACACATCAAATATTTGAACTGGTCAAAAATCCATTTAAAAAAGGCAGTATAAGTCAAAATAATTTCATATAACACTAAGTAATGGGTAATATATATACCATTAATATATACATTTATATACACCCTGAAAAGAATTTAAAAATGTATATACATCAATTTCAAGGCCTTTTTTTGACCTGGTCAAAATTGAATCAAAAACTCAAAAAATATAAATCAAAATAACCTGACAAGACACTAGATAATGTGGGAATATATATACCTTGAATATAGGCCAGGTATATCCCAGCTAGGTCATGATCCAAGGCGGTGGAGCTGGAAAAACAAGTCAGAAGTAACCAACCCTCACCACAAGTTTAACTCTCCTAAATATAAAATAAAATATATATAATTTCTCTCTTATAATTACTTTATTAATGATGTAATTATGTATAATTATTATAATAATTATAATATAAGTTTTTATTACACTAATAATGCCTAAATTACCTTAAATATAATTATTTTTCTTGTTATATTTATGGTCCCTTAAGTGTTTTTTTGTTATTATTTTCAATAAGGTTTAAATAAAGTGGGTTTTTTTTATTTTTATAAGATTATTAAAGTTGTTTTATTGCTAATAAATAGAAAATGTAATGTGTGGGAGCATTATTATTGTTGGGGCAGGACCAGGAGCTGTGACTCGACCCCTGACACCATATATAGGTAAGTACACACACACACATGGGGCCAGGAGCTGTAACTCGACCCCTGACACCACACCTATATATGGTGGCAGGGGTCGAGTCACAGCTCCTGGCCCCACCTCTCCTGACCAATGACCTATATACAAAAAAATTAATGTTAATAATAAGCCTAAATACTAAGCCTCCATAGGCCGAAATTCTCAAAATTATTAAAAAAAATGTTTTTTTTAATTTACAGTTAGTAATAACAGCAATAATATTGATAATAATGATTTAAAAGAAGCTATACCAGTGACATATTTGACCAATAAAACACAATAAAGACGCAATAAATCCCTAAATTATCAATAAAAAAATATTATTTATAGTTAACAGCAAATAAAAACAGAAATAAAGATGATAATAATAATAATAATATAATGAGATAAGAACTAATACCAGTAGTCTCGGTAATGTTAAATAAATCAATAAATCCTTAATAAATCCCCAAATCAACAATAAAAATAAATTATTTATATTACCCAGCAAATTCTGACAATAATGAAGATAATAATAAAGATAAAAATAATAAGAACCATAATTATTCATCTCAAAATTTTAATAAAACTTTATTTTTTTTCCCCAATTAAAACCCCCCAAAACCCAAAAAAATTAAATTAATTTTTAAAATTTTCCCCCCAAACAAACCGTTGATAAAAGGATAATTTTTTAAAGGGAAAATTAAGGGAAATTTAATAAAGCCAAATGAACCTTTTAATTTAGTCAAACCCAAAATTTTCAATAAAACTCAATAAATCCCCCAAAAACCCCAAAAAAAAAAAAAAAAAAAAAATTTACCCAAAAATTCCCTTAAGAAAATAATAAAGATAATAATAAAGCAATTAAAAACCATAATTAGTCACCCCAAAAAATCAATAAAACTCAAAAAATCCCAACCAAACAATAAAAATAAAAAAAAAAAATTCCCCACAAATTCCGATAATAATGAAGAAATAAAAAAATAATAATCAAGTAATAAGAACCATAATTAGCACCTAAAAAATTTCAAAAAATCAAAAATCCCCAAACTAAACAAAAAAAATAAAAAAAAATTACCCCCCAAATTCGAACAATAAAGATAAAATCAAAAAAATAATAAAAATAAAAAAACCCAAAACAAAACGTTCTTCCTGAGTCATCTTGGTCGCCGCCGCCATTACTGTGAGTTATCCTTTTTAAAACCTTTATTTTTTTCTCCGTTTCTGCCGTTTTCCCCCCATGGGGGGGGCCAGGCCTGGGGGAACCATCGGGGGAAGCCATATGGTAAAAATGGGGGTTTTAACCCCCCCATAAGGGCTAAAAATTTGGGAAAATGTGAAGTGTTTGGTGATTCTCGTGGTTTTTTTTCCCTTTTTTTCTCATTTTATTCCTCATTTAGGGTTTTTTTTGGGCCAATTTGTGGCCAGTGCCTTGGGGGCCACCATGGTGCCATCATGGTGGGATTTTCCCCCATAATACCTAAAAGGAGATATATCATAATTCCCCCTTTTTAATATTTCATCCTTTTTTTCTCTCTATTTCACTATTTTTCTCGGGTAGTTGTGGGGAAACTCCCATGAAAACCCATGGAGGTCCCGGAGCCACTCATGGTGGGGATTAATGAGAAATAGGGACGTGAAAATGGAACCATATCTCGGTGTTTTCACCGCTGTGTACCCCTTTGGGGTTTGCGTTCTTGAATACTTCTCATTAATTCTCAGTTATGGTATAGCTATGGACCACCAGAACAAAATGGTATAAAGTGGGGAAATTTTGCCTCATGGTAGAAAATTTGGAATATTTCTCATTCTCTTCCCTTTTAAAACCATTTTTTTGTCCTAGGGTAGTCAGGGGTACTTCGGGGAGAAGTTTTCATAATGGTAGTGTAAGGGGGGGGAGTATGTGGTCAGGGTCCATTGAGAAAAAATTTAAATTTTTTTTCTCATTTTAACCCCCCCCATGGTGGTAAATTCTCCATAAGGGTAGTGAAATAGGGGGGGGAGGGGTTGTGTGCCTCATGGTAGTACACTGAGACACATGGTGAAATATTTCTCATTTATTCCCATTTTAAAATTCCCCCCCCCCCCCCCCCCCCCAGGGTAGTCAGGGTAGTTCATAATTGTAGTAAAAGGGGGAATTTCTGGCTCATGGTCCCCATTGAGAAAACATGAATTTTGGTTCGTTTTTCCCTTTCCCCCCCCCGCCTCCCCCCCCCTCCCCCCCCCCCCCCCCCCCTCGTCCCCCCCCCTGTTCGCTCCCCCCTGCTCCCCCTGTCCCCCCCCCATGGGGGAAAATTTTTTTCCATTTGGTGGTAAATTAGGGAATTTGTGGCTCATATACGACAATTACCCCATTTTTAAAGGGTGTTTCTCACTTCTGGCTTTTAGGGGGGTATGGTGGAGACGCGGACGCCGGGGTACGGGAACGGGGGGTCCCGGGGGCGGGGAGGGAGGTTTTAAAAAGGATCCCGGGGCTTCACCTGGGAGATTAGTTGGGAAAAATTTAACGTTTTAGGCACGGGGGAATTTTCGGGGTTTTTTAGGCCGAACCCTCAGGGGGCCTAAAATTTTCCTGGAACGCCTGTAAACCCCCCACTGTTAATGTGCGCCTCAGTGTGTCTTTTTTCGTGCGGAAATTTTATTCCCGTGAATTTTCTCAAGTTAATATGATAGAATGTGAATATTTCGCGCGGTAAGTTTTTTAGGGTGGGTAGACGTAAGTACGGCGTAACCCCGAATTACGAACTTCTTCCCGACGGGTGTTCGAAAGCCGTTACCCAAAGAATGTTTCCCCTAAGGGAATAATGTAATTAATTCTTTTCCCTTTCACCCAAAAAAAACAATAGCCCCACAATAATAAAATTTACATAATCGTTTTTTTTTGAAGGGGTTCGACACTCGGGGCCACCGTACAATTTAAAACAGTTTAACATTTACAACTGCAAAAAAAAAAGTGGAACCTCTAAGGCTTTCGTGGTTTTAAATTTTTCACTATTTTTTTTGGGTGATTTGCATATTACACCTGTTTATGTGATCTTGATGCTTAACCCTTAGACCTCCAAACGAGATCTAGTTCACGTGCGTAGCATCCGAACATAAATAAAATTTTTTGTTTATTGAAAGCATGTAAAATAAAACGAGGTCTGCTTCGGGGGAGCGCTACGCCGTAAGTAGATGTATTTTTGGGCTTAATGTTTTAAATTACCTAGGTAATTCCCCCCCCAAAAAAGTCTTGTTTTTTCCATTGGGGACATTCCGAGGTGTAATGTTCGTGCACTTCGGGCAAAACGGTGGAGTGAGCGATGGTGAAAGTGTTTTTTCTTTTTAGAGTCGCCTTACCTCGGTAGGACGCTGTTGGTGCGCTGGAAAAACAGAATCTGTATTGCGTTCGTTGCTTTTATTTAAGTTTAGTTTATTTTTTTGTGTTTACGATCACAGTAATTTTATTGGTCAGTGTATCGAACTTTTTAGCTTTATCCTGTTTTGTGTGTTTACTGTATTTGTCTACGAGCGCTGAGTAATTTTCGGAATCACGTTTCACAAGCGTCACGTTTACGACTGTGTAACCATGCCAACCAGGGAATCCTTTCTGACTCAATTTGAATTTCCAGGATTCAAGATGCAGATCTTCGTGCGTTCCGGTGCCACCCACGTGCTCGATGTTGACGACCAACAGACTGTGGGACACGTACGATCCTTCATCAGCCAGGCTGAAGGTCTCCCAGAGGCTGAAGTTAGTACTTCCTATGGTTGTTATTTTTTACCAGTGCTGAAACTCGGTTTTAGGAAGATAACGTAAAAATTAAACTGTTCAAACGTAGATCTACGTTTTTTTCAACATTTGAAAGCGTGTAAAAAACTTAGATCTACGTTTTTTTTATATTTGAAAATGTGTAAAAAAAACTCACCGACACTGATAATTTTAGGCCAATATCAGTACCACCAAAATTAGCTGATACCGGATACTTGGGCAAATAACGCACAAACAACCCGCACATAGAAAAACGACGTATCGGTCCAACTTAGACCATTAACTGGTTTCTTTCTGCTATGTGCAAGTTATTTGTGTATTATTTACCAAGGTATCAGCAGCAACGCGCAGGAGAAAGTGGTCAGTGGTCCAGCAACACACAAATAACCTGCACGTAGTGTGCAGGTTATTTGTGTGTTGTTCCAGTCACGATATTGTGACTTTGCTCCTTTGGAACACTCGCCGTCGGACACTACGAGGTGCTGATCTTTTATTTTCGTTCTCGTTGGTGTCTCCCTCAAGAGTGGGTCACCCACAAGTAATAACACGTTTCACCATCAGTCGTTCACTTGTTGTACGTCTCTGGCCATGCCAGGACCCCTTAAGTACGTTTATTTAAGTACACGTACACGCAAACACAGTTAAACAATTTATCATGCATAGTAACGTGCGTAAATTACCCACGAGGGTAACCCAAAAGAAAGGCAGTGACCTATTTCCATTGGGGTCGTTGGCCAGGCATGCCCTGGCTGTTTGGGTAACTTGTTCATTAGCTGTTAACTAAACACTAAGTAGGTTTGTGTAATCTAACCAAAAATAACTATTATTGGATTTATGTCATTGAGATAATGTCCAGAAATTAAATAATGGTGAGGCACGAGTATGTGTCCCATGGCTCAGTTGGTAGTGCACACTGAGGTATGTGGTTCGATCCCTGGCATGGGTGGAAGCATTGGGCATGTTTCCTTAAGACATCTGGTGCCTCTGTTCACCTATCAGTAAGCAGGTACCAGGATGCAACCCACTGGTGTGGGTTACATCCTGGGGGAGGGGGGTTAATATAACTTAGATAGGTCTGGGCTTTGGAATAAGTTGAGGCAGGATAACAGCTCCTAGCTTGTAAAATTGATTTGCATAAAAAAAAAGTATGGACAAGGGTGAATACACAGAATCGTGCAAGAGGAAAATATAACTTATTAACACAGAAGACAATATTTATACATTCCCACAAACACGTGCATCTTTGAAGGTCTTCGAGAGCTTTACTATTTGCAGTCCAGCCCTGGGCCAGGCTTGTCTGGTGCTTATCTGATCAGCCAGGCTGTTACTGCCGGTGGCTAGCTGTCCCATGTATCAGTCACAGCCTGGCTGATCTGGCACTCGGTGGGGGTACATGTTTGGTTTCTTCTTGAAAACCTCGTATATTTGTTCTAGTCTGATATCTTGTGTTAAACAGTTTGGTAACACGGATGTTGAGACTGTATTCCTTGGGCCCACAATACGTGTTTTTCACTGCGTTTTTAGTGTCTGCACTCTGAAGGAGGGGTGTTCATGTTGTAATTTTATAACTGTAGTGTAAGCACACCTCTGGCAAGACAGTGATGGAGTGAATGATGGTGAAAGTTTTTCTTCTTTGGGTCACCCTGCCTTGGTGGGAAACATCCGATGTGTTAATAAAAAAAGAAATACAGTACAGTGGACCACCCATACGAACGCCTTGGTAGCGAAACCGGTCATAACGAAAATTCCCCAAGCCGAACTTTTACAAAATTATGACCACCGCATAGTTGACAAAACTATTTTATTGATCTTTGTCCGAACCTTCCATTTATGTGTTAGACTGTATTAACTGTAGTTTGGTAACATTCAACAAAAACTGGTATTTCCCATTAATTTGTTCGCTTTTGTGGAAAATAAGTGACATGGGACCGAATGCTTTGTAATCCTTAACAAGTAAATTGTAATATAAATACCCATTAATTTAAGGTTCATTGATTAGTAAGAGGATAGTTGGGCTTGTCGGTTGTACAAGAAACCCGAAGTGAAGATCTTGGTTTGAGGAACCAGTCATGGGAGTGCGTCCTAGTCAAAGGTTTGAACTTGTTTTTGAAACAAAGATCCAATGATTGAACAAAGCTCTTATGTGTGATAAACCCCAAAATTTTTGCTACCTCAAGCCAATGGCAAGCGAATCCTTTACTCACTAAACCCACTTTCCCCTCCTTCCATCCCCTCAATCATCACCAGATTTTATTAAACTAATTCTGTAATAGCATGTTTTCCAGTTGTGTGCACTAAATTAACATTTCTTGTGGTAAAAAAATTTTTATACTTTGGCTGTACCCACCCGGGCAACATTTATTCCCATTTCTAAAGGGGAAAACTATTCCATAGCGTAATTCGCAAAAGAGGCAGCCTCTTGCACGATAAGGTCCTATGCGGGGGTCCACTGTATGTACACCTACCATCCGACTTACGACCGAGTTTGGTTTCCGAGAAACCGTCGTAAGTCAAATGGTTTGTTAAGTCAAATTTACACGAATATCAACAAAACATTTTTGTAATGACTTTATTTTATTGTTTTATTTTGGTATTTCTTTATTTTGATGTTGTTAGTACTGTATTTTATACTGTAAGGTTTAGCATAAACACTGTGTACAACACAAATACTGGTTTATTTCCCAGAAATTTGGCATAAAAAGCATGGTCGTAAGTCGAGTGGTTGTAAGTCGGATGGTAGGTGTATATTCATTTGTATTAGCAAGTAAACTTTGTTAATAGTAAATTTAATTAGTGTTTTTTAGGGCTTGCGTGTATTAGTAGAGGCATTGTGTGGGGGCCAGTGGTTTCACCAGTCCAATTACAGAATGGTGGAAGATCAGGAGTTTGAGGTACTCAGTCTGGAGTTGGTGTGTTGCGTCCATCAGTCTCGATGGATTGAACATTGTCTTGATATCAGTCTTAATGGATTGAACACACCAGCTCCAAGTTGAGGGACTGATAACCTCATTCCTCTGTAGCAGACTCAAGCCACTGGCCAGCGAAACATTTACTCAGTAAAGATTCCCAAACATTGCACAAGCTTCTCATTTTTCACCTTTTGGGTTTATTTTAACCACCTAATCACCGGTAAGAAGTGTTCCAGTATCTTGCACTAACTCCTCGACCTTTCCACAGGTGAGGCTGTATGCTGCTGGTAACCCCCTGGACAACGATGAGATCCCATTGGTCACACTACAAACTGATGCCATCGATGTGAATGTAGCACTCAAAGGAGGTGAGTTCTTGGTTCCAAACACGGGTGCTCCTCGACTTACGATGGGGTTACGTTCCGGCGAACCCATCATAAGTCATGAATGAATATGGTTTGGTAAATAAATATATAGGGGTGTTAATATTGCAGTTTTATAACTGTAGTGTAAGCGCACCTCTGGCAGGACAGTGATGGAGTGAATGATGGCGAAAGTTTTTCTTTTTCAGGCCCCCCCACCTTGGTGGGAAACAGCCGATGTGTTAATAACAAAAAGATAAATAACTACCATCACTGAATAATTAAATAATTACTGCAACTAAATACCAGTAGTGACAAGTAAATAAATTAATGTAGCAGATGTTGCATGTGTATGGAATAGGTGGTCTACCTGGAGGGCATTCCGGGGATCAGTGCCCCTGTGGCTCGGTCCACGACCAGGCCTCCCGGTGGATCAGGGCCTGATCAACGGTAATATAACCTTCGACACGTACACAAATAACCCGCACGTAGGTGAACGTTACGATGACGTTTTGCTCCAAGTGGGACCAAAACATAATCGTAAGGTTCACCTACGTATAGGTTATTTGTGTGTTGTTCCAGTCGTGGCATGGTACCTCTTTACTCTTTTTAGACATAGACATAAAATCAATACTCATCACCTAACAACTGCCTACCATTGGTTTCTCATCCTCTTTCTGAGACTGAACCTCATTGACTTTATTCCTCAGGCATTCTGACTCCTATGGGTTTAGTGCTTCCCTGAATATCAAAGCAAGGAATTAGTGTAAAGTGGCAATAGGTATATAGGTGGTCCTCAACTAATGATGGTTTGGCTTACGATATTTTGACTTCACGAATGTGGAAAAGCAATTCTATGTAGATATAACTTAAGATAATTACCCAGCGTGAAGATGGCAAATCCATAACTTATAATCATATACTCTTCACTACTGATATCCCTTGCATCTATCCTAATTGTTCCCTATATTCCCCATTCCCCAGGTACTGTACGGCTCCTATGGTCCCATTAATTACCTTCCATTCCCAGGTGTAATAGCAATCTTAACAGCTGCCTTGTAATTCCCTCATGTAGTGTGATTTTTTGAGATTGGAAAATTTTATCCAAAATTCAACCACCTGTAAAAAGGCCATCACAATAACACATGCTCTTCGATTTCAGATGCATTTTTTAGTCGTACGTATTTGAAAAAATTGCGTGGTATACAATAGCTTTACAAGACAGGAGAAAAGGCACAGTACAGCGACTGGAACTGAATGCGGTCAGAAGTTTCTCTCGTGTGCTGGTTATTTGTGTACAACTTTATAAAAGTTTTACGAGACCTGGAATAACTGGTGGCCTGGTGGTTAACGCTCTCGCTTCACACGGCGAGGGTCTGGGTTCGATTCCCAGCCAGAGTAGAAACATTGGACGTGTTTCTTTCCACCTGTTGTCTATGTTCCCCATCAATAAAATGGGTACCTGGGTGTTAGTCGACTGGTGTGGGTCGCATCCTGGGACACTGACCTAAGGAGGCCTGGTCACAGACCGGGCCGCGGGGGCGTTGACCCCCGGAACTCTCTCCAGGTAAACCACAGGACTGTCTTTACAAATAGTGCTGCTTGAGTACGAAATATTTATAGATGTAATATTGTCTTTTTGATAATGCTGCTTGTGTATGAAAGATTTCTAAATGAGCAATTGTCTTTTTAGATAGTACCGCTTGAGTACGAATCTTTATAGATGAAAGATTATACGTATGTTAAATTTGCACGGAGTCGCTTGCATCTCTCTCCCTATTTACACAGTTACATTGGTGGTGTGTTGAAGTGTAAAGTGTCGTTACAGGTAAGGTCCACGGCTCGTTGTCTCGTGCCGGCAAGGTCAAAGGTCAGACGCCTAAGGTGGAAAAGAAGGAGAAGAAGAAGTCGAAGACGGGCCGGGCCAAGCGCAGGATCCAGTACAACCGTCGCTTTGTCAATGTGGTGGCCACCTTCGGCAAGAAACGCGGACCCAACAGCAACTCCTAAAATGCAACTCTATTGCTAACACAATTAAAAAAAAGTCCTCAAGTTTGTTTGTTTATCCTCTTTGATCTTTCTGGATGTTTATTTTTTCTAATTTTTTTTACTTATATATGAGTGATTTGGGAATTTTTTTTCTTCAGATTTAATTACATTTAAGTTTTTTTTTTTTTTTTTTGCTGCATATAAATGAGCATTTTTGCAGATGGTCACTTGAAACTTCATGTACAGTATCATTTATGGAATTTTGTAATTCTTCGAAACTAGGTTCAATCACTGGAATAAACTTTTTACTGTGAATTTTTTTGGATTTTGATGGAGAAGTTATAACCTGAATTCGATTGATTTATTTTACATTTACTGTGCTGTGTGACCCTTAAGGTTTAGCGTGCAGTTCTGATTATAATCCAGCTGAGAATACTTCATCCAAAATACTCGGGATTGAATTTCTCATGGATTTCGGATTTTTTGGGGATTGTCGAATGTATATATTTGCATCTATAAAATGGGACAGCTGGGGGGATGATGCAAGTGTAAACGCTGTACCGTATTGTGCAGGTGTATGACCCTAGTGGGTTTAGCACTTGCTTTTGATTATAATTTACTGTGCAGGTACTGGGCCAAAAAAAAAAAAAATGACTGCTTACAAAATAAGATAAATGGAGGCCAAGATTCTACAACTATGTCAGGCAGATCTGAGGAACTTGAGGGAGAGGCTACATCATAAGAACATAAGAAAGAAGGAACACTGCAGCAGGCCTATTGGCACATGCAAGGCAGGTTCAATTCTAGTCAGGTCAGTCACATTCACTTAAGGAACACAGCTTCTGACCTAGTAGCACAAGCTAGTCAGATCCAACTCGCACCCACTCGTGTATTTATCTGAACTTTTTTTAAAACTACACATCATCGTGACGAGTACATGACTGTACTCGTTACTGAGGAGAAACGTCGGGTTTAGCGCTTCCCCCTTGATTATAATAATGAGAAACGTCACTTGAGGGACCTGGACGAGGATGATCTAGGAATGATAAAAACAGTCGTGGATGGCCTTTTTAAAGTGTTTCTTCCAGTGTCGTCAACCTTAATGGTGGTTGTTGTGGTCTTTGATTTTATATTGTCGTGAATGCACGCTGCTCTGGTTCTTTAAGAAATCCACACATTTTCATGTTATTTATTGGCACCTTCTCCAGTGTGTCAAGTGTCGTCGTCACTATTATCAGGATCACCTTGATTCGGAAGCATTTCATCTATTTCACTATCAGTCACTGAATGATGAAGAGCATCGTTATCCTTGTTGTGCCCCCACAAGGGAGGTTCCTTGACGCTGGTGACGGGCTCCTGATCTAGGGAATCGGATCTGTGCTCCAGTTCCTTTCCATCCCCCCTCTACAGGTGCTGCATAATCCCTATGGGTTTAGCGCTCCATGAGTATAATCTATTTTATGAACTAAAATATGGACTACTTACAGGCTACTGACCAGCTGTGAAAGTGTACTGTTGGCGTATTAAGGTGGTCGGACATCGTTCTCACTTGACGTGCAGAATCCTTCAAACTTGTCATCGCTTTGTCCATCATCACTAAGGTGTCGGGCAGCTCAGTTGCTAGCGCACTCGGCTCACACACTGAGATCTGGAGTTGGAATCCCTGGTACGGCTGGAAAACATTAGGGACGTGTTTCCGTAAGACACCTGCTGTCCCTGTTCACTCATCAGTGTAAAATGGGTACCTGGGTATTAGTGGACTGGTGTGGGTCACATCCCGGGTTAGTGGACTGGTGTGGGTCACATCCCGGGTTAGTGGACTGGTGTGGGTCACATCCCGGGTTAGTGGACTGGTGTGGGACACATCCTGGGTGTCAGTGGACTGGTGTGGGACACATCCTGGGTGTTAGTGGACTGGTGTGGGTCACATCCTGGGTATTAGTGGACTGGTGTGGGTCACATCCTGGGTGTTAGTGGACTGGTGTGGGTCACACCTGGGTTATTTGGATGGTGTGGGCACATCCTGGGTGTTAGTGGACTGGGTTGGGTACACCCTGGGGTTAGTGGACTGGTGTGGACCATCCGGGGTGTTAGTGGACTGGTGTGGGTCACCCCCTGGGTGTAGTGGAGGTGGGGGTCAATCCTGGGTGTCATGGACTGGGGGCACATCCTGGGTGTCAGGGGGACGGTTGGGGGTACATCCGGGGTGTAGTGGATGGTGTGGGCACTCCGGGGGTTATGGATGGTGTGGGTCAATCCTGGGTTGGGGACGGTGGGGGTCACATCCTGGGTGTCGGGGACTGGTGTGGGTCACACCCTGGGTTTAGTGGACTGGTGTGGGTCACTTGGGTGTTAGGGGGACGGGTGTGGGTCAATCCTGGGTATTAGTGGACTGGTGGGGGTCAATCCTGGGTTTTAGGGGACTGTGTGGGTCAATCCTGGGTTTTTTGGACGGTGTGGGTCCCCTGGGGTCAGTGGAGGTGGGGTCACACCCGGGTTCAGTGGACTGGTGTGGGTCACATCCGGGTGTCAGTGGACGGGTGTGGGTCCATCCGGGGTTTTGGGGGGACTGGTTGGGTCACATCCTGGGTGTTAGTGGATGGTGGGGGTCACATCCTGGGTTTTAGTGGACTGGTGTGGGTAAATCCTGGGTTTAGTGGACTGGTGTGGGTCACTCCTGGGTGTTAGTGGATGTGTGGGTCACTCCTGGGTGTTAGTGGACTGGTGTGGGTACATCCTGGGTGTTAGTGGACTGGTGTGGGTCATCCTGGGTGTTAGTGGACTGTGTGGGTCACATCCTGGGTGTTAGTGGACTGGTGTGGGTTACATCCTGGGTGTTAGTGGACTGGTGTGGGTGGCATCCTGGGTGGTAGTGGACTGGTGTGGGTCACATCCTGGGTATTAGACTGGTGTGGGTCATATCCTGGGGCACAAGTGACCTAATTTGCAGGAAATGCTCTACATAACAAGGTACTTTATATAGTAGTATATCATTGATGTCAAGTATGGTCTGTATACCTTGTACACATACTTACAGAAATATAGCTGCAGGCCAGAGGTTGTGCCAGACATGTACAGTGGACCCCCGCTTAACGATCACCTCCAAATGCGACCAATTATGTAAGTGTATTTATGTAAGTGCGTTTGTACGTGTATGTTTGGGGGTCTGAAATGGACTAATCTACTTCACAATATTCCTTATGGGAAAAAATTCGGTCAGTACTGGCACTTGAACATACTACTGGAATGAAAAAAGTTCGTTAACCGGGGGTCCACTGTACAAGGGTGTCTAGTTAACACTCATTGGCAGCTTAACGTGTGGTAAACAGTGATCAATTTCTCTGCTGCTTCGTGATCGGCAAACAAATTTTATTTCCTATTCGAAGGTTACAGTGTGTGATTATGAAGTGTTAAGTACAAAGAAAGCCACTAGCATTCCAGGGCATTTCGGGCAGACTAATCCTAATACAGTGGACCCCTGATTTACTATATTATTTCATTCCAGAAGTATGTTCAGGTGCCAGTACTGAACGAATTTGTTCCCATAAGGAATATTGTGAATTAGATTAGTCCATTTCAGATCCCCAAACATACACGTACAAACGCACTTACATAAATACACTTACATAATTGGTCGCATTGGGTGCTGATCGTAAACCGGGGGTCCACTGTACTTATACACTGCTTAAAACTAGACAGGTTGAGGAGTGGTAAATTTTAATTATTCAGATGCTGTATCACCACTAATTTTCGTAACCAGCTTATGAATATTCAGTTACCTTCAGTATTCAGTAAATGATAGGTGTTTGCTCGTTTCATGATCATCATCCCTCGCTCATCTTTCGTGGGGGTGGATCGCTGAACTCTCCTTCAACTGCATTCAACCTTAATTTTATTGAAACTAGATACGTATAGTCAACGGCCCTTCTGCAGCTCTTTCTAAACTTGATCCCATCCATCACCAGGGATTCTGTTTGTCTAGGTGCTTTTTGCTCAATGCTGAAAGCCTATATGCAGAGCTGAATGTTCCATCTTTTAATTATTGCCGTGGTGCTCCTTTCCTCCGCTCTCATGGCCTTCACAATCTTTCCATGTGCAGGATAGTAGCGGACGTTAGTAGAGGTCCATTATTTGTTCACTGCCCCTGTTTACTCTGTTCGTTTTCTCTTCATCTTCACTTGGTCTTGTCTTCTCTTCAGTTTCTTCCTTTATATGTTCATCTAGCATCTAACTTTTCACTTCTTCCCTGGGAAGTTTTGACAGTTCTGTCTGTTCCGCACTGTCGTGCACGAAAGTGTCAAATATCTACAGTTGCTTCTCGCTCTCTTTTTCTTAACCATTTCTGGTTTCATTCTCATGCCATTGCAGTGTACACTGATGGTTCTAAATCCTCTGACGGTGTTGGGTTTGTAGCAGTGTTCCTGGACAGTGTAGTGCAAGGTCGTTAGACTCCGTTAGCATTTTTACAGCTGAATTGTATGCAATTCTCATTGCAATTATTCGTATTGCATCTATGCCCATCTCTGTTTGTGGTAGTCTCAGACTCCTGTAGTGCTTTGCAAGCTATTAAAAAATTGATTCGCCTTGTTCCCTAGTTCTTCGTATACAACTTCGTGCTGCATTACTAGCAAAAACAAAATCGTTTTTCGTTGGGTCCTGCTGGGTCCCTGGTCATGTTGATGTTGAGGTCAACAAGCAAGTAAACTCTGCAGTGAGGTCAGCAGTACATGACCTCCCAGTTTCACATAGAGGTATACCATACTCAGACTATTGTGCTATAGTCTCTAACTGCCTTCGCAACCGTTGGCAACAACATTGGTCTGATATAACAAATTATATTCCATCAAGCCAAGTTTAGGTTTCTGGTCTCTTTATCATGGATGCCAAGGCTGGGAGACTACGTTCTCCTCACTTGACATCGGACACACCAGTCTTGCGGATATCTCATGGAGAGGCGCCCTGTTCCACTGAGAATTGTCACGTTCCAGTTTCCCTTTGACATGTTCTATTGGACTGTCCTGTCTACCAGCGAGCACGCAGAATTTACCTCCGACGTCATCACC